TTTCATACCGTGTAAAAGCTCACGTCACTGTCATTCAAGTAAAATGTTGGCACTGCAGCCCTAAACAAAATAGATGCGTGCGCACACAATGTGAAAAATGCCCTCGGTTAGCAAAGTTGCGATATTTTTTTTCAATATATTATCTCTCTATCTACATGCAGTTTTCTACATTTGTGTCGATGCACGAGATAGCCGGGTTTAGCCAGCGCAGAGCTAGCCTACGTGCGTACGTGTATGAAACGTTATTGTCGCACGACGAGGACGGCGGGCATGCCTGAAAGGCGAAAGGACCCGCGGTTTTGCAGAGGTCGAAAACAGTTTTACACTGTTTAAATTAGTTACATTTATGCCGTAGAGATTGTAATCCATCATAAATTGCAGAATATACGGAATGTGTGTCTCGTACGGCTGCAGAGTTTGATTGAGGACAGCACCATTCTGAAAAGCTTGCTTGATATTTTTTCCTTAAAAAAAAAAAAGAATTAAATAAAAGAAGTTGAAAGATTTGAAGTAGGATGATAGGTAAAATTAGTGTCGGCCCACAATAAGGATTTTAAGCTTTTTAAGCAATAAGAAATAGACCAATCGTAGTCGAATATGAAGAAAATAATCGATTGTAATTAGTCAATATCTTACGGCGTAAGGCTTAAAGTTCTTATTGTGGACCGACACTTAGGAGTTGATGTGTACAAAATATATAAAATGTAAGGATGGAAAAAATTTTAAATTTGCAAATTCATTTGATTTCTTTGCCTTTACGCCAACGGCCTAATTGTCTCATGTATTTGTCTTTATGGTTAACGTTTTTTTTCGCGCTCATGCAGAGGTGAGCGGATCGACGAACCCATCAGTGTATATGTTGTTTTGTAGTTTCCTCTGCCCCCCCCTTTCCTTATCCGGTAGTTACATCACTATTCTAGAAGCTTCTTCGACCTTCTACACAGGGATGCCTGGAAAACCTTTAACAGCCACTCATGCCTGCAAGTGGAAGGAATAGGCTGGCAGCCGCGATGGCTTAAGTAGTTGGCTGCTGGCGGCTGCAGCCTACCCTCTCCACTTGCAGCCAGTGGCTGTTAAAGGTTTTCCTGGCATCCCTGCTTCTACATGATGTTGAATTCAAATGTTATTGACGAGCAAACAGTTTGGAACGATTCGTCGCACGAGGCACATCATAGCTACCACATCAATACGCTAAAATTAAGTGCTCGTGAAAGTTAGTGGTATTCGTTGGAGAAAATGCAAAACCAAAAGACTTATATCACTATCACAGAATACATAAATCCTCTGAATGACAATGAATATAAGATAGACTGTGCACAATGTCAATTTTACTTAATATGCATTAACGGGAAAAACAATAATATATCACAGTTAATTAAACATCTCCGTACGCGTCATTTCAGTAATTTAAACGATGTACAAATTTTAAATGCAATTAAAGAAGATTTTATAAATTTGGAAAAGGAAAATTTGGAAAATATGGAAAGGAGCGACGTATAACAACGTAAGTATAATTAACAGACTGTTTAATTCTTATAAACGTTTCCCTTCGCGCTGCAGCGCTTTGTCGCATTCTCGACGGAATTTATTAATTGCATTAGAGGGACAGCTTTGTATCGCATCGCGACGCGAGACGTAAGTTGAGATTGCGTTTACATTATTAATGGAAAGTTAGCGTCTTCGCGCGTGAGCGGTAGTCGAGAAACGGATTTCGAAAACTGCTTCTGCATCTCTGCACTGTGCCATTCCGTTTCTCGACCGCCGCTCACGCGCGAAGACACTAACTTTCCATTAATAA